AGGCAAACTCAAGCCGGAAGAGACTCTTATATTATAGGCCCTGCAAGACCGCGTCTACCTCCTTCTTAGATAAAGGCATAGAGTAATGGCAAGATCAGCCTAAGGAACTATCCATTGCTCGGCTACAATTGCTCGCGCGAGTCTAGGTCTATTTGCCGGAAAGAGTTCTCAAACATCACATCACTTCTTCCCCGACGGCTAAAAGTAAGCCGCTAGTTAAACTTAACGCGGGATGCGCAACTTGGCTTTAGGGAAGCCGGTAGGCTATTCTTTATTCTGGGAGAGACTTTCGATTCCTTCCGCCTCAAGTACGTTCCAGTTTCTGCCCGCAAAGGTCTTTTGTCTGCTAGGACCATCTCAATCTAATTCCAAAAGACTAAGAATGAAGCGAGGCAACTAGCCTGTCTCTACCTAGTAAGGAATTGTACACCACCAAAAAGCACTAACCTTGCAGATAATAATATCAAACTCGAAAATAAAGTCCTGCTTGCACCGGTCGACTACAAGGCATGGGCCTTGCTGCAGGCGTGGTAATCTTAGCAAGAGGGCTGAACGTCTCCTCAGAATCCTGTCCATATTTCATAGTGAACCTCTTTGCCATTAAGCGAGCACCGGGCCTACCTTTGTGGGTCTCTTAACTGTCTATGGGTATCACGAGAATACGAATACTTTGTAACCTTGTCTTGGATTTACGCCTATAACCAGATGCCTTTTTTGTGTAATGGAGTAATCATTCTCTTTGAGAAGTTAGTCTATGGCCTTGTAAGGATTAGAGCATCTTCGGGGATTAGAAGAGCTCAAGGATTAGGCCTCTGTCGCGCAGCTTGTCCACAGAAGTCTCAGTTCAACATCTTAATGAACCAGGCCGTTAAGGATGTTGAGGGGACCCGTGAAGGTTATATTTGAAATGATGACAAATGTGAATTATTTTTGTGTGCGTGGTAACCCGATGGAATGGCATTTTCTAGGAGTTCGAGAATGGGGGCTCTGACAGTTATCTCGAAGTAATATGAATCTGTCAACTTGAAAGGTGGGGCACTAGCCGTCAGAAAGGGGAAGTAAACGCATTTCGGAATCGGCTTATAGAAGGTAAGGGAAGCCCGTCTATATTTAATTCAACCGTAAGGTATAGTATGATGGCACGACTAGTTGCTTATTTCCGTCCGTCTAATCGGCTTGGCCTATCGGCCCTAAAAATCTCATCAAGCTCTCACTCTTTCAGGCTCAACGGTTCAATGTTCGCTAATGTCCGAAAGAATTATAATACCCCTGTAATTAAAAAGCAGCGTAAAGAGCTGAACTTTCTTCAGTATCTTCCCCGGCGGGTCCGAGACTTCTATATGAAAACTCTCTTAAAGCTATTGAAATGTACGATCGGGCAGTCAAATAGGAATGTAGTCTTGACTCTGGCTTTACTATATGATATATAGCCCCACTTTCCCGCTTTTCTTTGGCGTTTTTATTATGGCATTAATGATTTTCGATCCGCCTTGACAAGATCCATTCAAGTAGATTTCAGGGTCTCCCCTTTTTTATTATAGCACGCACAAGCCCTACCTAATGGTTTTTGAACTGACCGAAAGTCCTGCTTAAGGAGTGGCCTTAACGGATCTATACCTCTGGCCTTCTCCCTTTGTTAGAGATGCCTCTTCAGTCTATTGCTCAACGGCCTATGGCTTCTAGAGTAGAGAGAATTCCTAGAGCCTTTCCAGACCAGATAAAGTCCTTCTATCCAGGTTTAAGCTATGGCTTCGATTAAGAAATTATCTTCCCGGCTATAAATAAAGTCTTAGGCCCTCCCCTTACTCTAAGGTCAAAGTCTTTACCGGTACAGAGAAGAGATAATAACTATTGTTCGCTCGTACGTATCAGTCTATTAGATATTCTTTTTTTCCCTAATCATGTTCCAAAAGGTCCCAGTACCTACTTTAGTCATCTATCATTCTTCTTCCTTTCTTGCTATACGCAATTTCTTTTTTATCCCTGGTACAAAGAATGGAAGCAGTAAAGCTCGTGAAAGAAAGTTAATTTTCTGCTAAAAGGGCTTTTTTTTTCCAGTAGTTGTATTACCAGAGTTATTTTTTCACTACTTTACCAATGTGATCTAGGGAAGACAAGTCTTTGATATCAATTGGATCAGTATCCACCCATACATCTCCGTGATATACAGGTATCCTCTTGGTCCCCTGCTTAATCCCAAGCCTTACATCTCTTTCTTGATGATGTTAAGAGTGTGCCAATCAATCCGGAAGTTGGCTTCCACCGCTACCTGTTCTGTACGAGATGGATCTGCGTACTGTGACTCAAACCATTCTGGACTGACCTGGTTTTTCGCCGGTCCCTTGTACTTGAGTACATTGGTTCTATCTTTTGCGATGTAGAAATAATGCTAAAAAGTCTCCTTTCATGACTCTGTCCTCTAGCTTAAACTTACCTAAGATAGAAGAATAAATACCTTATTTAGGCCAAGCACAACTGAGTTTGTGTCCGTGTAGTAGCAGTCCTCTCTTGAGATATAAGGTTACATATATATCCTAGCTGAGGCTGTGATCGCAGCAGCTAGTTGTACAGCAGAGTTCTGGTTCACAAAATCTGAGCCCATCTTGGTATTGCGGCTGCGAAGTATTCTCGCTAAGCATATCAGCGAATATCAACTCACTATTTCGGGGCCCAACCTCGAAATGTCAAAGGCTTGATAATCGGGTATAACTCGGAAGCCGGCTTGCGCTGAGTCTATACCTCTGGCAGGAATCACAGCTCTTAGCATGTGCTATGCAATCTGACAGGACCGTAGGCCAGTAGTGGCCATGTCTCCGGATCAACCAACGCATCTTCACAAACCCATGTGCCCCACTTAGGGGAGTCCATTTTTTTGAGCTAACTAGAAGCTTAGAGTAGAGCGGGACTGGGCAAACACTTAAATAAGATGTAGGGCTAACATCCCCCAAAGGATAGGGTAAAAGTTTATTCCAATCTTTCGGATAAAACCTAACCGACAATTTAGATTCTGGAAAGACCCTTCTTACTGGAAACCCATTATGACCTTTGTACCACAAGACACTTATGCCATTCAATTAAATGGAGAAGAAAATCTGTGAACTACCCCTCACTTCTTCTTCGTAAAAAGAACATGTTTCTCCTCGTAATAATCTTCGTAATCAGAATCTGGATACTGAATCTACGACATTCATGATCAGAGTCGACTGGACTGGAATGACATTGATGCAGAAACAGAATCAAGAGAGTAGGCAGAAGCTAGAACTGCTCGATCCGGCCGAGGTCAAGTAAATGGATCTCGGGACTGTTGACAATCCTCGCCCTGTATTCCTAAGTGCAAGCTTCTCAAATGAAAGAGATTTGACAGTACATGGATCTACTCAGAATTCTTTGATGTTTTCGCTTGGAGCTACGCCGAACTGGACTAGACCGAAAGATAAATGAGTTAGCTCAGGCTCAGGGCGTGAAAGAAAATATAAAATAAAGGTGATTCCTGATCTGAAGAGTTTGCTATAGTGGAATCTGTTGAATTTGGGAAGGCTCACAGGTTTGGTGGTATATCCTTACATATATAAGTAGTTTTTATCCCGGCTCCAGTCAAATGGATTTAGGAAAGCTTCCACGTGACATCCTCAAGTTAGTCTTCTGCTTGAACTGTCTTATCGAAAGCTAAAGGTAGTTAACCTAGGGGTAGGGGAAAAATCCGACTAAGCTTTGCCTTGAACTTGGCACCTTACCTTCTAATCCTTTGCTTGGGAATTATATTCCAAAATATGGACTCACAGATTGGACAGTGGCACTGGAATGATAACAAGCATCCCTTCTTATCTTTCTTGGTATGAAATAAGTAGCTAGGACCCATCCCCCTCACAGTGTCCTTTCGCGGATTATCTAAGAGCGGCATCCACATGATCAGAAAGTAGTGACAAAGGGTCAGGTAAAAGTGCTAACATGCAAAGAACGGAAATGCCGACAATAGCCTTTGGGGATAGGAGCTTCGCCCGGCGAAACCCCATGCTTTGAGAGTTCCTTTCTGCCATCACTTTCTTTCTCTACCCAGGAGTAACTTCAGTACCTAGGACTACTCTCCCAGGATGCCAAACATACATGGAAAGTCTCAACTTTGACTCACAAGCGCCACCCTCACCGGGTAAATCCGGAGAAGGGCAACTGCTTCTGTAGGTAACGACTCAAATTATTATTAAAATTTATAGAGTCGTAAACCAACGAGTCTTTCAGTAAGTGGGCGTTAAGCGTAACGAGCTTACAGGAGGTATAAAATCTTTGTCGTTAGTCTTTTATAAAGAATCAAGCTAGGCTAGTAAGAGAAGGAATACTGGTAAGAAGTCGAGAAGTCAACTAACTTATAGTGCTTTCCACACCCCGCCCCGTAGAGGTAAACTTACCTGTGAATGCGGTGCGGGCCACAGCTCTCCCTTTCACTTGAAACAAGAGTTCCGTGCCAAGCATAAAGATTGAATCAATAGGACCATATTCTAATCCTATAAATGCCATAACTCTCTTTCTGAATGTCTCGACTTTATTTCTCAAAAAACCGGACCGGGCAGGGGTGCGGAAATAGCAAGAATTAAATGAATAGGCTCTTGTCAAGAGGTTGTTTGGAGAATCCACACTAGCTAACTTTACACAGAAGGACCACCACCATTGATACATTGATAGTGGATTAAGTGGCAAACCTATACTATGCCCAAGTGCGGACTTACTTAAGTAAGGGTATCCTATTGCTAAACATCTGGCTACCCATAGTTTGAAGGGAAGAAGCCCATGTCTGGAGCTATGCCACCGTAGAATCATTAATATTCGTGGAGACTATTTATATTATCGGACACAACAACCAGAAGCCATATCTTTCGAAGGAAATTTAACTTATTATGATATAATGAAGTAAATAAATATATAATTAGAAAAAGCTAGAGCTGGGTATAAAGGCTTATGACCTGGAGATTCTTAGCTTGTTAGACACAATCTATCTTACTAGATATTCAGTGGATTCCTAGCCCTTGACTCATGGTAGAGAACACCAAAGGGTACTGCTCGCTTTGTTTCTCTTTATGTGGGGACGAGAACAAACTGACTATAAATCTGCAGAATCCACTACCCGCTCCTGCTTCTTGGTCACCAGAAGAGAAGGGTAATTAGGATCTGCTGCTGAACCAGATATCCCGCCCCTTACGACCAGTAATCGATATCCCTCACTGCGAGCCAACAAAGAATGAAAGAAGGAAAGGTAGGCAGGCTCAACAAAAGCTGCAAACTAAGGCTCATAAAACTCGTGCAATCTAAAGAAGAAAGAGTAAAAAATAATCTAATGGATCGAATCTATTCGTGGAATTAGAGGAGGGGCTATCTAATTCAAAAAAGTAATTCGTACCGGTACCACACTCTTTCAATCAAATACCGCTGGAAGATCCTGGTAATTATAACTGGCACATCTTATCTTCCTTAAAATTAACTCCTGAGACCTACCTTAAACAGCCATCAAACGGCCGTTAAAAGGCGTTTAAACGGGCTTGAAACCAACTTCATGGGCTTCCCAGCTCGTGCTATCATTGGGGCCATATTCTCCTAGACTATCTTCATGACGAGCACTTACATTACTAGCTCCCTCAATGTAAAAGGGAAAGAAACAAGGACTTACTCAACTCTATTGACTCTACTTACTTCCCTTACTGGACAGGATTATCAACTAAACTAACGACTGACTCGCTTGAGAGCTTAACTACTGCTTACTACAATTTTCAAACTTAGAAAACTCACCTACTAACTATCCCTTATACTCGTTCCATTTATTCCACTCGCTTACTTTTCAATGAAAATTGTCTGTATTGACAAGAGGTTTTATCCTCGATCCTTCAGTTAGCTTGCCAAAGCAATCACTGGCAACTATTTCATAGCCTCCTTTGGCAACAGGTTCCTCTTCTTTATGTAACTATACTTTATCTCTCTGTACTGGCTTGGCTTTCTAATAATATCTTTCCTTGCCTACGGGATGTGTATATGAATTACTATTATCTAAGTAGTATGCTTTCTAGTTCAAGTAGCAATTCATGTCTCTACTTCGACGGATGAAAGAGTTATCTTGAGTTGACCCTGACTAAAGGTCATAACTTTGCTTCATTGCGTAAGGGGTTGAAAGGTAATATTAAGTATAATAATGGAAGGGTCTTTTCTTTAGCTTTTTTTTTACACTAAACTCTTTGCGGTAGCCGGTGTCGGCTAGCAAGTTGCGGTCACACTGCAAGGCTTGCTTGCTTACCCATTTTTATATGACCCTAAATAAAGTATTTATGTTCCTGATTGAACTCCTTCATGACATTGATTGATGACTTCGTATCTTGTGTCATAAATATTCCATCAAGTTTATAGAGACTGAAAGCTGCCTAAACTGGATCAATAGAATAGAACACAGGTAAGGAAAGGACGAATGCGAGAGAATGAGACTCGTAGGTAGTATTTGTTACTTGCACCGGTCGTTACACCGACGCCAAATTAAGGCCGACATGGAGCCATGCACATGATTCCAAGAGTCACTAGAGACGTAATAATAACCAGTAACGAATGGATGAAGCAAGCACTTTTAGATGGTATCGATCAAAGCCAATCAACCCTTTTCCCCGATTATCGTCACTTAAATTCCACTAGCCGAAATGGAATCCGTCAAGTAAGAGATAAGCCAGAGATCCAGATCATTAGAATACGTCACCGGTCCTAGACGAGATGGGCCTTCTCGCGAAAAAGAGTAGGTTATTCCTATCACTAGGAGTAGTAGCGCTAGCGGCGCAGAAGGATCAAGTAGCTAAGCGCTAAAAAGCTATCTAGATAGTTTCCAGCTGAGGGATATTGGCTTAGATTGGTCTTAGCTTCGACTCGTAGTCTTCGACCACTCTTCTTCTTATCCCCGTAGCTTGCTTCCATTCAGGTAGCTATTGCTGAGAAATGGCCGAAAAAGTAAAGTATTATTCCACTTGCTTTCTCGCTTGACTTGAAAACTTGAAAAACGGCAGCTATCGGAAAGAAAACAAACAAGGAGTTTACTACGCAGGCTTTTTTTTAGAGAGAGAGAGTCTGGGGGGTTTGCTTGCTGGCTCTCAGGGGTTATAGTCGGTTCTGTTCTAATTTTAGGTATTCCCTTTGTGATACAGTGGGAGAACTGACTTGGGTTTTGCGTTTGTTTTCGCAAATGTTTCGGTTGAGCAAGAGTCGCCACCGACTTTTTATTTTATCCTAAGGAAAGGTTAAAAAGCACAGCAAAAACCTTTGAGATGTTTTCTTGGGTTCGGGGGGTAGATTATAGAAAAGGAAGGTATTAGCACCCTTTCTATCCATGGTTATCCATGGGATCTTAGTTACTTGCTTAGATCACTTGCCTTGTGTTTTCAATTGTTTGAAATAGTGCTTTGTGTGTGGGTTTGAAAATGTTTTGAAAAGAGGCCATTTGTTGTGGCAACCTTTGTAATGATCCATGTTTAAATGTATACAAAGGTGTGCATCTTTTGAAAAGTTTTCAATGTTTTTTGAAAGTTGTTTTGAAAGTGTGTTGTGATGTGTGTTTTGAAAAGTAGGCAAGTGTGTTTTGCAAGATTGGTCAAGTAACTAAGAGTTGTCTACCCCTAAATTTACTCAAAGGCTTTTCCTATGTTTTAACCCTTTTAACAATTTTGTTCCACCATTGTATTTGGTGGGCAATCTTGTGTTAGGATGTTAACGGGACAGGCGCGGCTCATCGTTTAGACCATGATTGCAATAGTGCCAAGTGTCTTTGGCAATTTTTCCTTTAAGGGACTTGATCATTTTTAGGCAACTTTCGAAAGCGTCATCGGGGGACTATGATCATTTGAATTGTTTTTGTTTTGCCAAAGAAACTCAACATGCAACATGGCCCATTATTGAAGGCAACAAGTGGAGTAACCCTAGGGGTGCAAGTGTGATTGGTGTTGTCCATTTTCATGCTTTTTTGTCTTTTAATTAGGTCAAGCTATTTGTTGTTTTTGATTTGCATACAAACCCCAAGTCTATCATGGAATATTTAGAAAGCTTTAAAATGCGGAATTTAAAGTCCTAAATTATTACAAAATGATCATGGGGATGGGGGTACAAATGTTCAAATGGGGATGAGACTTTAATAGGAGAATGGTATCCCAATATTTACAACCAAATCGAATCAATCGCAAATATAATATGTATCAAATGTACAAGAATAAACAAATGTGTATGTGTAAATGTATTTGTGTAAGTGTATGTGATTTATTTACAAGTGAAATAAAAATAATAAAAAAGGTTAATTTTTGGATATTTTCACATTTTAGGGCAAAACCCTAATTTTTCTAAATAAAAGGTATTTATTATTTATTATATATAATATTTATTAATGATACACAAAAAATAAATAAAAGGGAAGCATATTGTAAAAAAGGTGAATTTTGAGGTTAAATATTAATAAAAGAAAAAATGTATTATTTTTTATGTTTTTATCCTAAATATTCTAATAAATATATAAGTATTTATATTATATATTAAATATATTAAATATACACAAAAATAAAATATTAATTATTTTACAAAAAAAAGTATATTTTTTAGAAAATGTTTTCAAAAGATAAAATAAAATAAAATCAGAAAATAGAATGTATTTTGTATTATTTTTTAGTATTTTACATAAAAGTATTATATTTATTTATATATACAAGTTTAAATAAAGCAAATAAAATCCAAATAAAATGCAAAAATGGATGGAAAAATGTTTTTAATATTTTTTTATATTTTAACAAAAAATAATAAGTCAGAGGAAAAAATAAAAAGTCAAAAATGATTAAAAAAATCACACAATGGGCCAAGGGGGTGTAAGTGAAAAAATGTGGTGCAAACAGAAAAACAATTCCAGGCCCAGCCCAAGGAGGCTTGTCTTGAACCTCCAGCCAATTTCAAACAAAAAACGCGCGTGTTCTCTTGTCCCTGCTATCTCTTGATCCTTTGATTTTTAACAGAAACTTATAACACAAAAAATGTAAAGCATCAAACCACGAATTCATACATATAAAGAACTTGATCTAACTCTCAAAAATGAAAGAGAATTTCTTCTCCCCCAATTCATGACCTAACTTTTGTTCAATATTCAGGTTCAAAATTCTCTCAGTACACACAACATAAATGAAAAGTAATGATATGGGTAGCTTCAGGGCCATGAGTAGGACATAACTTCTTCACAAACCTAAGCCTAGATATGCTTGGATAGAGAGATAGAAGTTCAAACTCTTACCTGTTCAGCTTGAGTCATGTGCAACAATGGAGGCACTTTTAATGGAATGTGAGGACTTGTACAGCTTGCTTGAGGTCCAGGGATGCTTCCTCTATGCTTGGTGTGCTTTGAATCCTTCTGAATCAAGCTATGGAAGTCAACATGCAAGAGAGAAAAGTGAAAATGGCAGATGGGGTTAGGAGTGTTACAGCTCGTATTCAATACTTGGGATAGCTTCAGTGGGTGATATGGAACATGATTGAACTCTTTTTGGCCAAAGTGCACGAGTGGAAAGGTTTGTAGAAGTTAAGTTGCAGAAGGGACTCTGTTTTGGCAGAAAGAGGGTGTTTCTGTGAATGAGGAGGTATTAAAGGTGGTTTGGTCGTGCTTTAGGTCAGTTAGGGAGTATGGAATGTGTTTACAACGTTTGCTTGAGTTGGTTCTTGCAGGAATGTGAGTTGTGTTTCCAAAATACAAGTTTCTTCTTTGATAAGTAAGAAAATGTGTATTGACAATGCAGGCCCCTACTACCCTCAATCTATGCTGCATAAATCACTCTTGATCAGTGGAATTTGTTCATGAACTTGTGCCCAAAAGATCTGCTTTGGTACTTCTTTGATTTGCTTTTGACATAAAGCACTTCTTTTCAAAAATGGCTAAAATGCTTTTTCCATTTTAAGACTAATCCTTCATGTAATGACCAAATGCACAAAATAAAATCTTGGCACAATGGTTTAGCATTGAATTATTGAGTGTTAATGGGATTAGAGGCCTGCAACCTAGCTTGTGCAAGCTGAGTTTGAAAATGCATAGTGTATGAACATGAAATTGGCCTATGAACAAAGTGACTTTTGCCCATCTTAACAAATTCGAATCTCTCTAACCACAAGGGTGTTTGATGAGTTCTTGGACAATTTGGAAAGCTTGGAATGTGTACTACAATCCATCTTTGTAATGCAAGTTGAAATTACAAGTGGAAGCATGTGAAAAGTGGCCATGAAGTTGGGCAAAAATCCTGCCTAAAATAGGTCAAAAAATTTCTAAGTTAAGAATGTTTTGCACCCCTATTCCAAAAATCATAACTTGAGCTACAAGCTTCTTTTGAGGAAACTTTGTGAATAAAAGTTGTAGATTTTGAAATGGACTACAACTTTCATGTTTTGAGTTTTGTTTGAATCCAAATATATCTTGATGAAAAGATGGGACAAAGTTAAGAAAAAATTAGGAAATTTCATAACTTAGAAAATTTCTAAGTTATGAAATTTCTTCATTTCAAACCCTAATTTGTAATTTTTGGTTTCTTGATGAACAAGTTTCATAATTT